GGGATGGCCAGAATATTTATTTTTTTTGTACTTGTATCTCGGTGATTTGTTAAGGATTAGCTAGTAAGCGCATCCACCAGTAAATGGATTCTTTCTTTGTCAGATTATTAAGCGAATAGTGAAAAGTTGAAGTATACAAGCTACATAAACATAATTTGCAAATCTTTGTTACTTGCTAAACCATCAAAAAATCTTTTTCTTCATTTTCGATCTTTTTATTAGACAATTCTATCAGTTTATGTTTTCTTGGATTGTGCCTCCAACTTTTCCGTGGTCTGCCCACACTTCTTCTACCTACTCAGTGGAGATTTGTGTCTCGTTATCTTGTGTACCTCTGTCATTGTGCTTGTATTATTCCATTCTTTATTCCTATTAAGTCGCCTATCTTATCCATCTTGAACGATGTTCTAATTTCGTCACTTCTTTTTCGTTCGCTCAGTGTGTTTCGCGTGATTCTTCTTAAGGACTGAAATTAACCAATCTTTTATAAGAAAAGTTTATTGGTAAGAAATTAATACAAAAGTATTTTTAAGTCAAAGATAAAAAATATGTCAATATAGTCAATATACTTAATATAGATATAAATATAAAACATAGAAACAGTGTTTTAACTAATATAGTTGACAATTACAATAAATTAAAATTGGAACTAAAATACCCCTCGTTGCTAAAATACCAGCTTTCCCAAGCTTATGAACATGAAAGAAGCGTCCAATTTTTATGGGTTCTCTCACACGTCAGAATAACAGAAAATGAAGAAGCTGACAGGACTGCACGAGAGGCAATTTTAAGTTATTTGTCGGAGCCGATAGACAAGTGTGTTTCCAATGACAAAGCTTATTTTAAAAATAAAGTGTGGTGTTTGTGGCGAAATAAGTGGTCTCAAACTAATTCCAATCTAAATAAAATCAAAAATAATGTGTCTCAGTGGTTTCCATCGTCTCGCAATAGACGAGAACAAATTGCGGTTGCGCGTTTACGTCTAAGACATACCAGATTAACGCACTCCTACCTTTTCACAAAGAAAAATCCACCTATATGTGATCAGTGTAACGTCCGATTAACAGTCGAACACTTTTTAACAATTTGTAGTAAATATGACCACAGACCTCTAATAACTGATTTGTGAATATAACCAAGAAAGACAGCGCTACAAGATCCCAAACGCTCTACCACAGGCTCTAGGTCAAAACTGTTCCTGTGACAATATAGTGAATTATCTCAGATCCATAAACATTTTATACAATCTGTAGATGTTTAACTTTGTTATTTATATTTTGTTCCGTAGCTAATAACCGGATTCGACATCTTTTTCTAATAAAAACAAACACCCCTCATATGTAAAAAAGGCATTCACTATAAGGTAACTCTTATTTTTTGCCTGATGAAAATTAAGAGCTTTTATTCTAGCTGGCACTATATTGTAGAATTTTATGGCTAAATACCTTGAACCATTTCTGGATATCTCAAGTCGACCAAATTCTGGTATAAGATTATAGTTTTATCTGTTGGGATAATTGTGAAAATCTACATGCGCATTGTATTCTGGCTAAGATTTTGTTTAATGTGCAAAACAAACACTGCATAATGTAGGTATATACAAAGTAAAGTTAAAATTTTAAAAGCTGTAAAGGAGTTTCTACACTCTTCTCTATAACAGAGAACAGAGATAATACGAACACACATTCTTTGTTGTCCAAACACTTTATCAGTATGACAAGAGTGACCCCAAAAGAGAATAGTATATGCCAGATGAGAATGGAAATTACTACGATAAGCTGTTAAAATAGTTTCCCTGGAAGTTACTTGTACAAGGTTCCTGAAAAGAAAAAAAGTTGTCGGGAAAACTTTTTAGATAGATTATCTATATGTTCTTCCCAGGTTAATCCAAATAGGATTAGTGCATCCAAATGTACCTCCAGAAACTTCGCCTAGGTTGCACATTGTGGTAGAGCAACGTTTCCAATACTAGTGTTATTTCTTAAAGTAAAATGAACAGTTTTAAATTAACAAAACAGTGTTAACTGCCTCATTTTGAGAGTTCACTAGATCATAAATATAGATAAAAAATATTGGACCCAAAACCGATCCTTGAGGGACTCCAAACATCAGAGATTGTTTTTAAAAATCACACTGGTTGAAGTGAATATACTGATCACGATTTGATAGATATGAATCAATAAGTTGAATAGCATCACTATGAAAATTATAATTAGGAAGTTTTCTAAGCAGAATACTATATCGAAAGCATTAGTAAGATCTAAAAACGATGCATGAGTGTCAAGATATTTTTCAAATCCTTTCAAAATATTGCTAGTGAAATAATCCATAGCTAAAGTTGTTGTTTCATTTTTTCGGAATCCGTACTAGTTTATGGCAAACAGTTTATTAGATTTAAAATATAGATTAATTTGATTTTTTTTTAATTCGTTCATAAACTTCAGATAAGGTGGGCAACAACGAAATGGTTCGATAATTGTTGTACTCATCAATAGAGCCTTTATTCTTAAACATATATACTAGCTTTGCAGTTTTGAAAACTTGAGGATAAGTAAGATTTTGATTGGTTTATTAAAGTTATTAGAGGTTGAACAATGATATTTTAATCATTTTAATAATTTTTGTGTTAAATCTATCAGGATCTTTGTTGTTACTATTTTTTGTTTCTGAAATAGCTAAGTCAACTTCACTGAAGTTTACTGGCTGAAAACTAAAACACGGGATATTTTCCTGTCACTTTAAATAGTCATCAAAAGTTAGCTGAGGAACCTCAAGTTCATTTATTACTCTCTCAGCAGTTGAGCAGGAATGGCTATTAAAACTATCTGCCTTGAGCTTAGAATTACCAGTGAAAACATTTTTGTTTGTTACCATTAATAAGTTTCCACATAGCTTGTTTGCCAGAATTTTTATAAACCTATCATTTGCATTAATTTTTGCAAGCTTGGTGGCTTCCCTGTACTTTTTTCTAAGTTTCATAATGGTACTTATAGGTGCAGCAATAGGATCGTTTCTATTTATTGCTATAATAAATTGAAGTCTCTCACGTATTTTTTTAAGTATCATTGAACCAGTTTGCTTTTTTACCTGGATTATTTTTATTCAGCAATTTCGATTTTTTCTGGAAAATACTTATTTATGGAATTTAATAACACATCAATTAGCATTTTAAATTTTTAATTGATATCCAAATTATCATTGTATACAAAATTAAAGTTGCAATTTAGCAAAATCTGGTTCAAATTGAAAAGTCCTTCATTGTGATAAGTGTATAACAAACTCTGCTTGCACAATTTGTGGATGAGTAAGCTGTCTGAAAGGAAATACCTCTGTGGATATATGTGTGAGTGAGATCCGCAGGTTTTGTGGTACCATAAATATTTGTTAAAATTTATAAAAAAAAAATCCTAAACAGTTTCAGAATAAAGCGCTCGAAGAAAATGGGTTTTACTGGACCAGATGCTATCTTAAAAGGTCTATCAGAAAGTAGAATAGACCACAAGTATGCGAATATTATTCGAAATATATACGAAAATGCAACAACTTTAAACCTTCATTGCATGATTGAGAAGACAAAAATTGGCAGAGAGTATAATTTGTCCCCAAAACTATTTATAAGAGTCATGAAGTAAACGATTTAAATAATTCGAGTGGAACTCAAAGGGTATTAACATCGATGGACAGATATTAAATTATTCTCCGATATGCTAATAACATTTTTCTTATAATAGACGATCTAGGAAAGTAGGAAAGTTTTCAGTCTTCCATTGATTATGTTTAGCATTATTTTGCTGGCAGGTGAGATAAGGGTGAGAGTTAAGTATCTAATTGTCGCATTTATGAAAGCTGCCTTTTTTTATGTATGGTCGTTATTGTAGGTTTTGCCCAGTGGTCAGGCCATTGCTTGCAATACCATATTTTGTTATAGAGCAATTGAAGCAATTTTATTCCGGTTTCTTCGGTAGCTTTGAATATTTCTGCTATTACCATATCTGGATCTGGTGCCTTGTTATACTCAGTGGCCGATCTAGACATTTGTATTTGGAGAGGAACTTCGAACTTGGGAGGGGAGAACTTCCAATGAAACACCAACCAAAAGATATAAAAAACATAAACCCAAACTAGAAAAAAGACATAAATAAGAGGTTTTCTTTCATCTTAGGCCCCTTCTTGGAAGGTATTTCCCCATTTCCCCCTTGTATCTGTCCCTGGCTTATACCTGAGTTTACTGAGGTTTTTTTCGATTTTTTCAGGAGTTTATTGTAACGTATACGTTTGTCGAACGTATTACAAGGCAAACATAGAGACATAAGACATGTTAGTCTAATACTGAACCATATTCAATGATTCTAAAGAAAACCTTTACTAAAAAGCCATTAAATCAGCTGATTATGTAATTGTATGAATATGAAAATAATTGTTAACTAATTTTGTTTCGAATATTGATTACTTTTAATTGCATATTCCAACAAGGTTAAATTAAAAGATAGACACATACACTTTTTAACTTTTGGGTTTGCAAAACAATATCGCTGTTACATGATATGCACATTTTCTCATTTTTCAATTCCTTCGTACATTTACAGTATTCCATTTTTATTTAGTGTTTTTAACAATTGTATATGAAGAATTTTAATTTTGTGAATGGGTGTAGTAAATGTTTAGTGTGTGAATTTGAAAAATTTATTATTATAATTTGTTATTATATTTGCTTGCTTTGAATTTTATGCGTTAGTTGCAACAATACAACTCTAACTATAGGTTGCCTAAATATGGCGTAACTCGGCGATATAAACTGAAAATTAGCTGAATCATATTAATTTCTATATTTTCAATTTTAAAATTTATATGACAATTATACAAAATAACTAATAGAAAAACAACTGACAATAATAATAATAATAATAAGGAATCTACAACAATTTGATATCATTGACACATGACACGGAACCAGACAATAGAATTTTTGGCAGTTGTCATAACAATAACAACGTCAAAGTGACGTGTCTGAGGAATATCAGAGTATTGTAGGTAAACTGTAGATAATTTATTTATTAATTTAATGGTATTTTTGTAAACTTTAATACAATGAACTACAATGCAAATACTGGGGGTAGACAATGTAAGTATAATATCAAAATAACAAAGATTTTTAAGCTCTAACAAGTCTTTTTCTATAGTATAAATAAACCCTTTAAATTTTTAGCCCTTGGAAGAAAACTTAAAAGGGTAGCTGATGTTAATTCTATGGGATACACACCTTACGACCAACCTCCCCCTGCCCCTGCTCAAAATATGTATCCAACACTAGATCCTGGAATGAACAGTTTCCAACAAAGTAAGTTACTGAGTAGAACACAAATCACAAAATGAACATAATAATATGTGCTCTAAACTAATCATTGCCCCAGATTTCTTAATATTTTGATATGTCTTAGATTCTCCATAAAGTAAATCTTAACATTTGGCTTACTATACCTATTCAGTTTAGTTAACAACAACAAAAGTTGCAACAAAATCGCTTAAATAATAGTTGATTTGTTAAACCCTAATTCTTCATTTTCAGGTTTTCCTCCAATGGAAAATCCACAATTTACAAGTACACCACAGATGCCACAGCAGCAGAGTCAGAATTTTAATCAACCTTATACAAATTTAAACATGAATCCATTAGCAGGAGTACCACAAAATTTGAGTGTCTTGGGTCAACCTGTTGTACAAGACATGGCGTTACAATATGGCCAGCAAGTAATTATGATAAACTATTTACCAATAAACTTGTAGTACTCACATATTTCCATTCTCCTCTTTAAAATCAACTTAACTATCTTATTATCATATTATGGTGTTGATACCCATGTATTTTATTGATCTATTTCCTTTTCGTATCAATCCTATTTTTTTGCTGTATACTTTCATTTCATAATATATTTTTTTCTTTTCTATTGTATGTATTGTCATATTAACATAATTTCCACTTTTGTTGTTTCAATTATTTTATGTATTTTGTGCCCATTAATTACTGTTTCAGTTACTGTTATACTAATTATTGATTGTGCTCTACAACATTATTATGTTTGGTTTTTATTTATTTTTGAGTATTTCTAAATAATCTAGTTTATTTTCCAAAGATTTATTTTTATTTTTTAGTTAAAATCTTCATCTTTTTTTGTTTATTATTATGTTTTACTTTTCTATAAGTATGTGGAGTATTTTTCTGCCTAATCAAAAAATTTTTTAAATATAGTATTCATTTTTTAAGTCATTCTAAGATTTCCTGGTTTCAAAATACTCCTGTTTTTTTGTTTATATTTGATATAAGTAAATTGTTTTGATAAACATTATTTTTTTGTTTTCAGTTGGCAGGAGCAGGAACTACAATGTTGAAACAAGAAGTTGAAAAAATTGTCCCAATCTCTAAATTAAAATATTATTTTGCTGTTGATACCAAATATGTTATGTCTAAAATATTATTGCTGTTTTTTCCTTTTAATCACAAGGTATGTATATTTACTACATTTAATAAGTTAGATTTTATTCCTAGCTAAACATTATATATATTTTTGCATAAAAAAATCTAGTTAGTAGAAACTAAAAGTGGCTCAACCTGGTTTTAGTTCACTTATTTGGTTCATATTACCTAAATATTTTAAATTAATTTGAAATGCTTCACTATTGAATTAATATGTTGGGATAAAACAATCTGACTATTAATAGGTGTATTAATTGCATTAAGCATGAATAGGGTCAATTCAATTTAGAATTGACCATAGACCAGAAATGACAAAATATATCAAAAGTCATGGAAAGTGCCGCAGTGGAAACTATAGGAAAAGAAAGGAATAACAAGAAGAAAAACCAGTGGTTTGACCAGGAGTGCAAACAAAGATTGCATCAGAAAGCAATCAAGAGGCTAGAGTTACTAACACGCCCTACAGATGAGAACAGGGAAGACTACAACAGAGTAAGGACTCAAACTAGAAGACTTTTGAGAAGTAAAAAGAAACAGTACCTAGAAGCGCGAATTCAGCAACTGGAGGAGGAACATAGAACTGGTCAGTCTAGACAGTTTTATAAGGACCTAAAAACAATGAAGAGCAACACAACCAACAGCCCAAAATTTATAAAAGATGATGCAGGACAATTGCTCATAGACAAAGTATTTTGACCAACTCTTAAATACAGAAAAACCCACAATGACAGGGCAACAAAGACAGTACCAGTTAGCCGAACCTGAAATACCAGGGCCCACACTAGCTGAAGTTAAGTCCGCAATTTCGTCCCTACAAAACCACAAAGCCCCAGGCCCAGACAGCATATAGGCGGAACTACTAAAAAAAGGGGGAGAGAAGCTCCACCTTGAGATATATTATCTTATAAGAGAAGTCTGGGAAAGAGAAGAAATACCGAAACACTGGCATGAAAGCTATATAGTACTTATCCACAAGAAGGGAGACAAACAAATATGTCGGAACTATAAAGGAATATTGTTAATTAATACAACGTACAAAATCATATCCATAATACTGTCTAGAAGGTTAACTCCATACGCAGAGGAAATAATAGGCGACTACCAAAGCGGATTCAGACCAGGAAGGTCAACCATAGACCAGATATTCGTTCTACGCCAGGTGTTGGAAAAAAACTGGGAATTCAACCGCGATTTACATCAACTCAACTTATTTCATCTACCATTTCATCAATTTAATTATGAATACTTCAAGCCTCTTACTCATATGGTGGGACTATGTAATAGGCACCAAAGTGATCTGGACTTATTTTTCCAGTCCTTAGAACAATTTAAAAATGTGAAAAGAGACTGCTATTTGTATGATATTAGTTTATTCAAGTTAATTATGGTACGATTAGCACAGGTGAGCACAGAGAACGCTTCCGCACGGATCAGGATTTGCAGCACCACGTCGTAGGAATTCCTCATTGACACCGGGCTTAGACAAGGAGATCCTCTCGGCACCTGCAATTTTATTTTGAACTGGAACATGCGGTAAGGTCAACCACAACTGATAGACGGATTTGCCGCCCAAGGATCAAAAATACTATTGGCGTTTGCGGATGAAGTGGACACAATTGCACAATCCACCAGAGATGCAAAAGAAGTTTTCAACCTATTCGAAAACGGAGCCAAGGAAATTAGCCTGAAGGTCAACGAGGACAAGACCAAGTACCAAACTTCACTCGACATTTCATGAATTTTTGATGTCATTTTAAATGTTTTCAAACTACTTCTTTTTTGTCAAGGGACTTTTTCTATGTGATACTGTGATATTGAATGCAATACACGAACTAATAGTGAACATATGGAATAATAAACAACTGCCACAAGACTGGAATACCGGAATAATTATTTCAGTACATAAAAAGGGAGATCAGCTTCAATGTAAAAGCTACCGGGCAATAACGCTACTAACTGTGGCATATAAAATACTGTCAAATATTGTTTCTACAAGCAGAAGTCCACAATAGATCAGATCTTCGTTTTGAGGCAAATCTTGCAAAAGACTAGTGAATTTAATATAGACACACATCATCTTTTCATTGATTTTGAAAGTGCCTATGATATCCAACTCAACTCATTGATAGTAAGAGAAACACTTAAAGTACAAAGCAAAATTCAAATTCAAAATGTACTAACAGATACAATCCATGTGAGAACAGGCCTACGACAGGGAGATGCATATCCTGTATTCTATTCAACATCACATTAGAGAAAATAATTAGAGAGTCAAAAGTCAACACCAGAGGAACAATAATAACAAAAAGTGTACAAATATTGGCATTTGCAGGTGATGTGGATATCATAGCTAGAAGCGAAAGAGAGATGATAGAAGCATTTAATTCGTTAGAAAGAGCGGCACAAAACAGTGGCCTAAACATTAATAAAATAAAAACCAATTACATGAAGGCCAGCAAATTGATAGGCCAAAGAAACCTACAGAATCTGACAATAGGAGACTATAACATCAGAAGCGTGAAACATTTTACATATCTAGGTTCACTAGTTACCACAGATAACAATGTCAATGAAGAAGTTAAGAGAAGAATACATATTGCTAAAAACATATAATGGACTAATTAAACATGTAAGATCTAACAACATCACAAGAAAAACGAAATGCAAAATATACCAAACCCTGATAAAACTGGTGCTTGGATCAGAGACATGGACACTGTCGAAAAGCGATGAGAACCTATTAGGTACATTGTAACGAAAAATCCTTAGACACATATATAAGGGGATGAAAGAAAATGACATATGGCGCAGAAGATATAACTTTGAACTATACACAGCATACAATGAACCTGAGGTCATAACATCCATAAAGATCGGACGTCTGCGCTGGATGGGCCATGTTGAACAGATGTCGGAGACTGAAACACCAAAACATATAATGAGGCAATCCCCAGTAGGGAGAAGGTCAAAGGGAAGACCCAAACTTAGATACATGAAACAAGATCTGAAAACACTTAAGATTACCAACTGGAAAAAAAATTAAGGAACAGAACAGAATGGCGGAAAATCCTAGAACAAGCCAGGACGCAGAAAGGTTTGTCGACTACTGATGATGATGATGATGACTTTTCTATGTGAGATAAATCTTATACAACTTTCATAACAATATCAATCATATACTAGAATAATTCTTCAGCTAGCATAGAACTAATTATCAATAACATGATGAGGTTTCTACAGTGAATATTGCACCAAATGGATACATTTTTGTTATGGATAAATTCAATTTAAGATAGTTTACTAAGTAGGTAGAATTAATTATTTTTCTAATATTTAATTATATTTATTTTAGGATTGGTCTGTGAAATATGAAGGCGCTATACAGCCCCGATTTGAAATTAATGTCCCAGATTTGTATATACCAGTAATGGGTTATGTAACATATGTCGTAACAGCTGGATTAGTGTTGGGAATGCAAGATAGGTTTAGTCCAGAACAGATAGGAATTTTAGCATCATCTGCACTGGCATGGTGTTTGGTAGAACTTGCTATTTACAGTGCTACTTTGTAAGTACTATTTAGTAGGTAGATTTTTATTGTTATGAATGAATTCAAAATATTGACCAAATTATTGAAAGATATTTGTTGCTTGAATAGTGGACTTATATAGAAAATTATAGAATTAGAAATGTATCTCTTTCTACTACATCAGGCTGCAAATTTATGACGTCTGTCCCTTGTGAATGAGTATAAGAATCGCTAATGTATTTTTGTTTTAGGTACATCATACAAATAGAAACCAATCTCCGTACTCTCGATCTTCTAGCCTACATTGGATATAAATTTGTAGGCATAATTTTAAGCATTTTAGTAAGCCTATTAGCAGGCAGAGTTGGATATTATGTATGTTTGGCTTACTCCAGTTTTTCGTTGATGTTCTTCATTACTAGGAGTCTTAAGGTCAGTATATTAATTGATAATTTAGTCTGTCTCACATTTCCATCTATCGAGTACTGCCTCCTATATTTTATTAGTGTGACTAAGTAGCTCTATGGCCTTGTACTTTGCGTTTTGTTGAGTATATTCTTTTGTTTTTATAAAAATCTAGATTTTTGATATTGTTACCTCTACTTATTGTCTGACAACTTTATAATTTTGAACGATTTGTATAGTTTGCTTTTCCTGATGGTTTTAACATTTTTTGGCCACCTTTAGTTTCAAAGTATTTCAGTTACATTATCTCTAATATAATATATTTTTCCGAATTATAATAGGACTTTCTTTTATTTTTCAGCTCATTTTTTCTACTGTTTTTCCCTGAAAACTACTTTTTTGTGGTCTTCTCCGATATTTTGATTCCGTTTCGTTTCTTACTTCAATATTCAGCACCAGAAACTTATGATATTGGTTTACAATCTCACTGACGCTTATCTTACAGTCTACATCCTCTTTTCTTGATACGAAATAAACTATTTCATAATGGTTTTGCTATTTTTGTATGTGATAAGTTGACCCTCACTCTTTTGAAAGAATATGTTAACAATCACCATATCTAATCCTGCTGCTAATTCCAACATATCATCTCCATCTTGAATTCTAGTCCAAAAGCCTACCTAGTTGTCCATGTATTACTTCATTTCTGCTCTTGGATTGAAACACATTTGCATTAAAAAACCTCCTATTATGACTCTCTATACCTATCCACCTCAAAAGCGTGAACAATACTCCACAGAATGGTAGGTAAGTGGTAGCAATGAGTAATATAGCTATCTTAAAGCAACATTGATCTACTGTTCTTTTCTATTTATCACAAAAACCAGTTTGTATGCAATGTTATCGTATATGACTTTTACAGACTAAATATCATTATATTCTTCGATTTTTTAAACAAATATTTATGTTATTGAATGTATTTTATTAGAATAATTTCTATTAAATTTAATTAATAATTCATCAATAATTTTGAAATTAAACTACAGTACTTGGCCAAATTATTATGCCAAGAAAGGAAAAAATTTACTATATGAAGTTATTTCTCTCATGATTATGAATATTTTTGAAAATAAATTACTGATTAAAACTACTACATTAAAGATTCTCGGCGTGGGTGTTTATCATCTTCGAAAGAGTCTTGAATATTGAGATAAAACACACACACGCAGTGGCGTGCTCGCCATAACATAAATTCACTGCATATGTTTATAATCTAAAAAATAATAAAAAAAAGGATAAAACGTCTGCAATAAAATTTCAGTCCAAAACCGTTTAGAATTTAAATGTACACTGTTCACAAACAGTATTTGAGGTTATAAAATGCACACTAGTTGACAGGACGCAATACTGTCTAGAAATGGCGGACAGGGCGGTGTTGCCAACGTTAAAATAGTACAATACAATAATGTTACCATAATATATTAAATGTGGCTATGCGAAAAAATAATAACATTCCTGTGGATAAAAATTATTAATTTAAGAAAATGCAGTTTTTTAATGCTTTGCCTAATAATTTGGCCAGGTACTGTATAGTGTGAATAATTGCAAATTGATTAATCATTTATTATTTTGCAGGTGGCAGTTCTGGCTGGAAATTCGCAAAATGCAGGTTATTACGAAGCAACATCAACAACAACTGGTCACAAAAGACGTATCTATTTTCTTTTATTCTTAGCAGTTATTCAACCATTACTATCATGGTGGCTCTCTTATCATTTAATTAGCACAAGCCCAACTGTCGTACCGATTGAACCAGAAAAGATTTAGTAAAACATAAAGCCGGGCTTCTTGTTTTAATTTGCCGTACAATGTGTCTTAATCCTCCTAATGCCTGATTTTTATATGATACAAATGGAGTCAATAGTTATGAAAGACGTTAAAATGTAAAGTGTTTTATAAAAAAATGTAGTTTCTTTGAATTACCAAACAACAAATAAAATAAAACTTTAAACACTGTAATGAATTTTATTAAAGAAAAATACTTTAAAAATTTATGAAATTTTTGTTTATTATGATTTCTTGTACCACCAAAATATTTATTTCCTCATTGCGTGAGACGATATCAAAATTTATAAGCAGACAAGTAAAAAATATGAATTGAATGGATTCCTTACACGTGATTGGCTTAATTTTATATCAATTTGCAATATAAAGAGTTACAATAGTTTATTCATTGAAATAAGTAACCCAACGTAGGCTTACTTAATAAAAAAAGTAAATGAAATTCATTAAAAGCAGGAATGTTTGTGGTAGGTTCCTTTTAAGTCATGTTTTCTTATTTTAATTTTAAATAGATGTAATATTTCTTTCATAAATAAAATAAAGCATTCATTAAGTTTCCATATATATTTTTATTAAAATCTAACAGTTCTAGCGAGGAAGAAGACTTTCATTCTCAAACACAGACTATAATACTGTGAATATACTTCATTTCATCACAAATACCTTTAGGGACTGTTAGCTTAACACATATGTATCTTCTCCCTATCTACTGTATTGTGGATACATTAAAGTATCAACGTATATAAATATACATAAACTATATTATCTCTGATTTGTTCAACCTAATTATTTCTATAACCAGTAAGAAGGTTCTTCTTTTTACAGCGGTGTTAAAGCCAAATTAGACCTTGGTCTCATGTAATTTCTACTCCCAAGAATGGAACCGATTATGTATTACTCTTTTCCAATTCTAACTCCCATTAAATTTTGCGTCGCTGCTACATGATTCTCCATATCTTTAGATGACCTCTTCAGGTTAGGTGAAAGGTAGGCTGAGTTTTTTCAGTCGTTTAAAATATTTATCACTGCTTTTAACAATCATTTGCTTCACTGTTTCGATCTTCAAGTCCCTGTAAATGTCTGGATTTGGAGTGAACGGCGGCTCATCAGTGATGGCACGAAGAACCTTACATTGAAATCGCTTTAGTATTGCTATGTTCTCCTCAGTTCAATCCCGTATGTCCAGATGGGCCGGATGAATGCTTTATACACTAATATTTTGTTAGATAACGATGAGGTGGATTTACGACCGAGTAACCAGTAGTGTTTTTTGCACTTTTTTCCTAATTGCTTCCTCTTCATTCAGATGTGTGTCATCCATGTTAGCCTCTTGTCAAGGTGTAATCCAAGATATTTTACAGTATCATTTTTGGGAATGTTTATTTATTTCTTTATTTATTATGTTCTTGTCACTAGATTCTTTGGTGTTTCTTTGTGATATTTAGTAAATATCACGTTAACTGATATTGCTTCGTAGATCTTTATATTTAATTTCTTAGCCCATATTTCAATTAGATGTACGGTATGTTGTAATATTCAGCTGCTTGTATGGCTTCTATGTTTTTGATCAGAATTGCAGTGTCATCTGTGAATGTTGCTATTGTGGATTCTGCTCCAGTTGTACATATTGTGTAGGGAATCGGTCCCAAGACACTGCCTTGCGGGACCTATACATTTATCTTGATGGTAGACACACTTTCTTCCTATCTTGGATAAAATAGTCTTTCTTCGAGGTATGATTTTAGTATCGTGTATAGCGGCTGAGATATTGCTTTCTTCAGTTTGAATAGTAATTCTGGATGCCAGACCTTGTCAAATGCTTGATTGACATACGGGAAAATGGCACTATAAAAGCTCTTTTTCTGGAAGACTGATTACCTGCTGGCTAAGTACCACCCTATGTACTTGTTTAGTTGTGACGTGTTTTTGGCGAAAACCGAACTCATGATTATGTATAATATTGTTGTTCTGTATTTCACTAATCAGTCTACTTGCAATGACTTTCTCTGCGACTTGGACATAACTGATAATAGGCTGATGGGTCGTGTAATCTCATGTGAAGGTTTTCCTGGTTTTGGAATCGTAATGATTTTTAATTGAGGTATTTTGTTAGAATTTTTATTTCGTTATGAGTTACCCATTTGGGTGGATGGTTCATTTCATTAGGACTGTCTAAATATTCATAGATGCCGTCACCTTCATTTGCCCTATTTGTTAGCGGATGAAATACCATTTCTAAGTGTTTTACGAAATCGTCTGCTTTTTTCCTGATCTGTCTTTAACCATTTTAAATCTTCTGTTCTGATAAGTGGAATTTGGTTTTGTGGCCTTCCATAATGAGTAATCACTATCTTTGCTAGGTGTCAGATGAGTAATCACTATCTGTGTGAGATAGAAGTTCTAGATAATGTTGGAAATTGGCGTTGCTATGTTGTTTTCGTGGTTCTTTTATTTCTCTACACATTCGGTTTAATTTGGTTTTGTCTTGAGGTGAACGAGTTTGATGCCATTTTTTAGGATTTTTTTGTTTTTCTAATATTTTTCTTCTTAGTATTCGACAATCCTTATGGAACCGTTCTCGTTCAAAGTTTTGTAGATTTCCGTGCAGAGAAGGCATTTCTTGCACTTGTTTTATTAGATAAATCTTGAGGGAGATTATCTTGAGCCGCTCTTGTGTTTTGAATTGTAGTCGCCACCCACTAAGAACCTGGGACTTAATGATCTAAAAAGTGTTTAAAATCCATTCTTTTTAGGTCGATAATTTGGTGGACAATAAACTGCTGAAATACATAGTGGGCCAAAATTGTCTTCTATGCAATTTGAAGCTACATATAGGAAGTCTTTTTCGATTTTCGGTAGTTCGCGATGTTTTAGATTATTCATAATTATTATTGCTGCTCCACTTCTGGGGTTTCTTTCTGCATCAGAATGTGCTGTATTGTAGACCTTATGTGAGATAATTTTAAATTGTGCACTGGCGAAAAAGTGCGTCTCAGGTACTAATAGAATGTCTACTTTTTACTAGAAGTCCATTCGGCAATTCTTATTAGCTGTAATGCCATCAATTCTTTTTAGTAATGAGTTCTCTTAATTGTTGCATTTCTGGTGTCAATAGATTTATTTGACACCAGAATTTCGGTTTTCTATTTTATAACTTGAGGTGATTGGGATAAAGTGAAATTGACTGTTTTGTTGATTTCCGGTTGTTGGGCATTTGAATGGTGTTGTTTTTTTGTAATGATTTCACATGTTTATTCGGGTATACTCTAACTTATATCTCTGGATAAGCCTGGCATTTTTTATAATCGGATGGATGGACACCTCCTTCTTCTTCTTCGGGTTCCTTCTCCTAGCGGAGGTTGGAAATCATCATCGCTATTTTAACTTTGTTGGGACACCTCCATATAAGGTCAATTTTGCTGGTTTTTCTTAATTTGTATGTTTTTCGCAATTTCGGTAATCATGGTTTCCAGCACATTTAGCAGATCTATATCTACGGTAATGTGCGTTGTTTTCTTGAGTGACCATAGTTTTGACGTTTACACTGTATATGGGGAGCTTCAAAACATACTTTAGCATGTAGTATGTTTGATATTCCAAAGAAGTCTTTGTTGCTTTTATTACGTTTCAGATCGATAAAGAATAGATTTTTGGTTGCTTGTTTTCCCTGTTATGAACATTTATGATTTTTATAACTATATATCCTTTGTCTGCAAGGGCTTTTTGGATTTCCTGAATTGAAGTACTGTGGTAGATATTTCTTAAAACGACCCTAAAGAATTTCTCATCAGGGAATATAAAAGTATGGAACACTTTCGTATTTTGTTCAAACGCTTTTCTGAGGACTTTGGCTAAGAGTTAAGCTTATTCTATTTCCTCCTTATCATTAGATATCATCAGTGCTGCTACAACCCTTAAGAGGCCTCAACTTTCCTGCAGTGTACTGTTCTGAAGTTGGATTTTCCAGTTGGGGACATTAATTTTTCAGTCACTTTTTGCGTCATCCTATTTATACATTTGAGATTTGATCTACCCATAGATGTAGAACTGGAGGATAAAAAGTGAAGCCGATTTAAATTTAGTATGCGCGCTGTCCGCTAGGTAGACACAAATAAGGGGGCAAAATGTTTGAAATTTCACTTGTTTCCCTATGTTAATTATATGGGATTTATGTGTTAGTAAGATAATCTTCTGGCCGAAAAATAATCATTTTTTACTTATACGAGTTTATTTTTAAATCATAATATTACTTCATCTTCTGTTGCCAATTGTATTTTATGGAATAATCTAAATAACAATGATAATGAGGGAAATGTATTCCAAATAGAGTGGAGACGGAAAATGATTTTTTGTAATTAAAAAGTAGAACATTGGGTTGGTTTCTAGATGAGAAATTTAAATTAAAGGATTATTATGCTTTTTTATGTGACCGTATTGAGCTCATTAAGGTAGTTAGCCATGAATACCTTAGGTTTAGATTCATGGACGGTTAGATTATATGCACTTGGAAAACAGATGACTGAAAAAGTAAATGCTACTTCAAAAAGGCATGAACTAACTAAATATATCTTATTCAGTCATTCTTGAACTTGGTATAAAAAACGTAAATTATTTTGAAAATACACCCACATTATTGTAATATATAATACAAAAAATAATAAATACCTAAATTGAACAATCAACATTTGTTTCCTTTTGCTTAAAATTTATATGTTTTAGCATAAAACAATTGTTTTGTTTGCTTATAAGTTTTAAATTAATAAAGGAAGTCCCAAACTTCATTATACTATTATAAAAATCATAAGTAAAGCTAATATAAACGAGATCTTAATTTTAAAATTCTTACCCACTTTTTTTTCCACCCTCAATTCTTACTTAATATGATCAGAGGGAGATTGACTTCTAAATTATTTATTAGAACTCTGTGGATCTGCCTCATCTTCTGATTACACAGTTGTGATTTTTTTTATCATATTTCTTTCCAGTGCTATTTTTACATGTAGAACATGGAATACATATTTTATCCATTATAGACGGATTTATTTAATTATGGTAACAATGTTTTTTCCTTGTATACCTTCGTATTACCTGTATGAGTTCTGGATGATTGAAAGGGAGGAAAAAAAGAGTCATTAAAAAATATCATTGTATAATTAAAATAAACTAATTTAAATTAACAGCGCTTTTAAAAAAATTAAAAACATTCTCACTTCCTTCTTTACTTAATCTAAGAGCTTCGTCGAACTGATCTTCAGAAAATGATCCCTTGGTATGTGAAGCTAATATTCTACCTTCACAGGAATCAAAAGCAAATAAAAATCGCGATTTGATTTCTTTATCTGAAATGGGCGGCGATAATGTTAGCTCGTCATTTGCATTCAAGTAGCATGTTACGGCAGCAAACATGAATTTCATGTCTACACCAGCATTTAAACACGCTAGACATGCAGCATTAATGGCACAAGATACTAACTGCAACAGATAAAATATGAAAAAATAATAAAAAAAAAATATATAACTTTTTTATTATTTATATTTCTACTACCACATTTTCACAAATATTTTTTTAAACACCAATATGGGATTCCAACAATTTATAAAAATAATTGCAGGTATCTAATTTATATTAGTTACAGTTCAACATCAATTTAGCGAAAGTGAAGAAAATTAGCAAATATTCATTATATCAAGTAATTTTTTATAACTAGGTTAGGTTAATCTACAATTTGTTTTAAGAAGGTAAAAAAATGTTTGTCTGTGATGGTTAAGGAACATCTTTTTCTTCTATCAACCATTTTTTATTTTACATTACTTAAATACAGACAATAATGATTGTCTTAAGAAATATTGTACATGTCTGAACCCGTCGAGATATAAATATTATGAAATTGAGTATGAATAATTGATAATATAGGTTATATAAATGTTAGATATCAGTTAACAAGGTCATTAAACATAGGTAAATAAGTAATCCTTATTTATTTTATGCAACAGTTGAAAATTTGTTATTAAAAGGTTTTTGACCAATGTATTTGTAATGTAAAGGTACATTTTGCATTAGCTTTTCCAGACAATTCTAGGGGATTTGGAAAAAATTGTTAAATAATACTATATTAAGATTACACCGCATATATGCCATTATAATGCAGAAAATTATATACAATAAAATAAATACAACTTTTTTTGTTTACATGCGAGGTTTAAATGATTCAAAGTAATTTATTTATACTTGAAGAAAAACAAACTTATTTGTTGATTTACAATGAATTTTAAGTATGCAAAAAGAATGACTATTGTACATAATATTATATTCTGAGCATTACTATATTAATGACAGTGATTAGCATTATTGATTTATGTATATTTGCTCCGTCTGTGACTGAAGCGCCTCCTATTGCCTTCATCTGACAGTTTTGGACCTCTGAATTTGAGGTTAAACATATGTTACATACATATGAAATTGACAATTATTATTAATTAGGTTTTTAATTATATTTTTCAGTTTATGTAGAAAATAAATGTAGTATTAAAAACTGGGTTTCAAAAAATTGATCACAATTTGTCTTTTCAACCAAAACGGTGAAGAAAGCAAAAAATCTAGTACTGGAAAATCAAGTTTTTCATGTGGAAGAGCATATAATTAAAAGCAATAATAGTAAAAGTTATGATATAAAAACTAAAGTCATCGGGCAGGCTGCAGTTAGCTTGAAGCCTTATGAAATATCATTTAAGGTAAATTATTTAAATTTTTCCTATTTCAATTGCATAAAAATGAATTTATCTGATATTTACTTTTTCATTTTAATACCACGAGTCCATCTTTTTATTTTCTCTAATTTATATTTATTCTTTGGAAATCTATAAAAACTACACTATTTAGGTTAGGTTAGGTTAACTACACTATAATAGGTCCAATTTTGTCATATTTCGCTGCTACGTATGCTGGCATCGTTTCAAGATATCCCTACCACGGTCATGCATGGAGCAAATAATATTGATTGATAAATAATGTTATTTTTGAGATTCTGGATAAAAATATCAATGTAATTATACTGATTAAAAATGTGCTAGAAAAATTTAAAACATGCCTTAAAATGAAAGTTTTGATTCCATATAAAGTTTCTTTAATCTTCATAATATGGTTCTATAACAGCATTAAAAAACATTTTCTGTTTAAAGCTTGTGCTCTTACCTGTCCACTGTTTTGAATTTCTTGTATTGCTATTAAAATAGAAGTGCGGGGGTATAATGAAGCACATAAAGCTGTCTCACATACATTTCTTATGAGTGATTCATACAGTCTATCTTCAACTCCTTAAAAAAATATTATAAAAAACAAAAACTAGGAATTATATATTTTAAAATACCTGCTAATCCACTTTTTGGTTTATAATGACACTCCACTGAGGCTTTGTCATTTAAAAGTTTCTGTAATTTTACTTCTACTGGTCCATAAACACCAGCAACTACTGTTGTGTTACCTAAAAATGTACCATATAAAATTTAAACTTAACTTTATTAATATCAACAGCAAACCTTCACTAAGAAGTGCTGATCCATCGGGACGCGTAAGGAGTCCTAATTTACAACTATACGTTAATTTTTCTTTTGTTGTTGCCATGTCCTTAAAATTCAAAAAATAGGTTATGTTATGAGTTTTGACAGATTTTGAAAACTGACGTTTTAAATAATTTATAATATTCTTCTGTTTTTTTTTGCAATTCTTGTTCATCGAAAATTCAGGAAGCTATTTTCTAACATTTGGATAATGAAAATCATAAATTACACTTTCAAGCATTTGGAACTCTTCTGGAATTAGATGATAAAGCTTGGAGTTTTACTCACAAAAGTAGTAATTATTCTCTGATTTGAGCCACAGAACACAAAGAAATATTTGGGTTATTAAGTTAAACGGTCTCTAACCACAGAATAATACACAATTGTTTATTATTCTGTGCTCTAACAATAAGATTTTTTTGAAGAAATATCCAAATCATTTCTCTTTCGATAAGCGACTGTTAATATCAAATAAATATCATTAGGTATAGAGATTTGTAATTCGGCTTTTTAAAAGTTGTGCTGTGACTTGTGGCCTTGTAGGTATTAATTCCCAATGTCATTGAGCTGTCATTGTCAAAATTGAATAAATGTTTTATTTATTCAATTCAGTTTGTTATTAAAAAGTACTAAATGTTTATACAAAAATGTTCATAATTTTTAAATATGTGCACTTATTTTTACTTAAACAATATGCAAATATGAATTAGGCGTTTAATATAACCTCTAGGTGTGATAGAATCAAGTTTGATTTATTGATTCAACAGAAATGTTAAAGGCAAAGTTGTTTACTTAATATTTTTGTAAAAGAAATGTTTAATATTAAAAAACATGGTACTCAGCACAGAGTGGTCCCAAGTAGAAGTAATTGATCTTGTAAATGACGGTTCTGGTCTTGGATTTGGTATAGTAGGAGGCCGGAGTACAGGAGTTGTTATAAAGTCGATTCTTCCGGGTGGTATAGCCGATAAAGATAGTCGGCTTCAAAGCGGAGATCATATTCTTCAAATAGGAGACATTAATTTAAGAGGTCTTACTGCAGATCAAGTTGCCACTGTTTTAAGACAAGCTGGACATCAGGTATTTACCCAATTTTATGATTTTATGAATGTTTTGCTAATACAGCTGAGATATTACTATTGTATAAGAATTGTTAGTTGTTTTATTTGTATTTAATGTCTAAATTACCAGAACAATTAGAGTTTACCAAAGGTGTAGCTTTAAAATAATTTAAAGCTACACAAATTATTAAAATAATAAAATATAATAATTAGCAATTTTTATGATAGCAATACAAAATCTCACCTAGTATTATTTTCATTGACCATTATGATACTATTGTTATCAAAAAAATATAAAAAGTATTAAGATTAAATATCCAGGTTTATAACTCATCCAACTAATAAAAATTCTTCTGGAAAACATAGTACACAATGTGTGGGTTCTTTTATTTATTACTAGTTTTAAAATAATGTTGAAAGTGTCAAGAAAATATTAAATATGCAGTTTAGTGTAGTGTAGTAACAGATTTAAAGAGTGGGTTAATCCACCTATAGGTATAGGCGAGAAATAGGAAAATAAAGGTGAGAAATTACAGGTTATTTGAGATCAATTGAAAATCTTGGTATATGATAAATGAGTTAAATGTACGAAAACCTAGCTTTTAATTTTAATATTGTACTAGCAATCAGGAAAATATAATATACCATTTAACAAACCAAATGTATGAATAAAAACCAGAATTAGATTGGAAAATTGCAAACAGTAATAGACAGTAGTTGTGGTTTGTAGTATGGCCTGTGTCTAATTGAGAGCTTTCAGAAAAAAATTAATACAAATGCAGCTAGTCTGAAACTATAACTATATACCATTTTTCAAAGTAAAACACTTGCACGTCACAATTTATACAAAGTGACATCACTTGTATTTAAAATTTCCAGAACATCAACCTTATAGTTCAAATTTTCCTAACACAGCTAATAATACAAAACCCATATGGAACTGCTTGATCTTTCATAGGTGTCAACATGGTGTAATAATCAGAAAAATATAATCATCATTATACTGGAAATTTTAGAATTATATTGATTAAATAACCAAAAACATTTATTATTATTAATAATATAAATTTTATGAAATAACTCTTGAAGTCTAATATTCCACAAAATAATAATTTTAATTAAATATATTAGCCAATTGTAGCAACTGATACGGAAATATATCAAATATTATTGACAGTTCAGCTTGTGGCAAAAGTGTATAAAATTTTGCTGCTTTTTTACTGTAGAAAGCTGATAAGCTTTCATAAAAGATAGATTATTTTGAACAAGAAATAATGGCGGGACGTTTTTGTTATTAAAGCCCTAAAAGAGGTAAGTTTAAAATTTAGAATATATAATTTTGTATTAAAATGTTTTCTTATGTATTTTAATGCAGTAGTCTTAAAACTAAGTGTATTTACTGTTAATATTATAATAGTTTGACAAATAGTTGATATTTTAAAAATTCCTCACTTACTGACTATTCTGAGGTTTTGGCAATGCTGTGGGGTTCTGACGACGTAAATCTTGAATGATGTGCAAGCTTTTTTATATGAAAAATGCTATATGTATCTGTGTACCTATGTATGTTGTTCATAAATGGAAACTTAATTCATGATGGTTTAGAATGATAATGGTTTCAAAAGAAAGATGTAAAATGTGTTTGTCTTAAATATCCTGGAAACGATTTTTCGTTTTTAGTTATGAAAGAGTAGAAGGTTGAAGGAAAAGAGAATATTTTAGTTGAGTTTTGTTTTAGAAAAATTATTGTTTATTTTTTACTGTGTTTTATATAATTTGCTTCTACTTGACACACTAGGTTGCTTATGGATCATTATTTGGATTGCATCAAATTTTCATATAAGTATGAAAACATTTTTGTATTAATTTTTACACATCCCAAACTGATACATCACGAACTGCCACTGGCTATTCTACTCAGATTTCAAAAGTGTCAATCAGTGTAACACATGTACTTTCAGGTAAGAATGGTAGTGGCTCGATCTGTAGAACCAACTTCAGATTTTTTATTATACAACTGCTCAGCACCAATTGTTCCTACTAAGATATTAACCGATCCAGAAGAATTAGATAGGCAGTTACTTCAAAATGGTTATACATCATCTTTCTTTCAATATGCAGAAGCATTGCAGGTAAGCTTTTAGTAAAACAATGTGTATGTAGTTCACTAGAGATGTACTATACCAACTTAATTTTTTATAGTAATGAATATCTATTAGTGTATATCATAAACAAAATATATCCTACTGATTGATTCCAACAGATTAAATATGCATTACTTAGTAGTAACATGAGAGTGATTAATTTTTCTTTTTATTTATAGCAGGTTGTGAAAAGTGAATCAATTCAAGACCAACTAGAATTATCTCTAAAGACTTTAACTGCAAACGGTTTGACTGAAAAAATTCCCAGTGAAAAAGCTACTCCAACTTCCTTTAACGGATTGTCGCCAGTAGATGTGTGTCCGACAAAACAGGGAATACTCGCAGTTGTTACTCCAACTACTCCCATTATTCCAATTACTCCAGTTACTCCATTGACACCAGTTACTCCTATTGAGGTTGATAATCATAGTTCAGATACTGAATCAGAAACAGAGCAAATAGTTGTTAAATTGGTAAAGGATGACTATGGATTAGGTAATTATTTATTTAAAAAATGTATACATATTTCAATTTTAAAAATATCTACTTGATAATTAATTATTTATTAATCCCCATGCATATATAAGGGTGACATTATATAGCAACCTTTGAAGTATATTATTATGGTGCTACTAGTGTTTTCTCAAGTGCCAAGATGCTGCAAATATTCCTGTTATTAATAAATCAATAAATCCTTTTTGCTTACTGTTTTTCACAAGAGCTTTTCTCATAAGATGTTTTAATTCCTTATAGGCTATATTTTGTCTCTCTACATTTTTTCTTTCTTAAACTTTTGGAAATGAAACTGCTCTCTTGGTCAATTATATTTCTCTAGTTTTCGGAGTTTAATCCTGATAATTCGTTCTACGCCGAATTTATTTCGTGAAGGTTGTTCAAAGTTAGATATTGTCCTAGCAAACATCAATTATGCTTGATCAAATATTAGTTAAAGTGCCCGTCAGCAAGAGAGTTTATGATAGATACTCTCTCCAAACTTTGGCTTCATTAGGCCCAGGCTGGCACAGTTTCATTCTGTGACTTTTTTTGTTCTGTACATCAGAGTCGTTCAACAAAAGGTCATTTTCTAAGAGAGAAAACTGTTCTTAATTCATTTTCATTTTGGATAACATAGTATCTACATCTTGACTGATCTCAGTTACTTGCGAGCTACTAGGTTGGTTTTCTTTTGAGGTATCTGAAAAAAGATATATTAACCAATTTCTAAATCAATTTTATATGAAGAAAATGTTTTTTTAATTCCTTATTTTATCCAACTTAGGATTATTTGCATGTAAGAAGGTGCGGACTTAAGGCAATGTTATTTTAACTATTTTCTTTTTATATTTAATGGACTTAGTATTATATACCTTATATTATATGCCACTTACCTTAGTAAGTAAACCATTAAGTATACCATTAAATAGATTGTAAAAATGTAAACAATCCTAGATAAATAAGTCCAATATGTAAAAATTGGACTTAGGACAGTATGCTTCCGATATACAAATTTATATAACTTTCCATATAATCACTGTTTTCTAAACTAGCCCAAAAACTTAACATCAACACATGTTTTTCGCCTAATCTGGGCTCATAACCTGTTATGATGAGATGACAGTGGAATGAAATATGCTTCATTGAGTTTTCTGTTCTGCATAGACTAAACTTTATTTCAAGGTTGTAGCACACAGAATACAATGTATACAATTGGTAAATAATAGATGGGGTCACACGTTACTATATAAATTTTTTGGGACATTTGATCAACATATACTAGGAACTAGTTCCATTAGTTTCATATGAATTTAATATTTCATAAACATTTAACAGACAAAAAGATTTGTTACACGGATACCATCTAATTTGGCTATCCTATTGTGAACCTTCGTCATTTGTTCACATTTTGCAGCTACATACTACTTATTTCTATGCATCAACTTGTGTGTATGTGCGCGTGTGTGTGTGTCTGAGAGAGAGAGAGAGAGAGAGAGAGAAAAAAGATGGCCTGGAAGTAGGTCATTTAGCCACAGATTTTTATTTCTTATTTTATACTAATCTATTAGTTGATATATAGTGACCTATTAGTTTTGTTACATCTAAAAATAGTTCATCATAAACTTTTATAAAAGTTAATATTGCTGTGTCATACATATATTTAGTTTTTATATGTTTTAGGTATAACAATAGCTGGATATGTTTGTGAAAAAGAAGCGCTGAACGGAATATTCGTGAAAAGCCTCCATGAACAATCCGAAGCCTTTAAATGCGGCAAAATCAAGGTAAACGATCGAATTATCGAAGTCGACGGAACATCTTTAGAAAACTGTACAAATCATGAAGCTGTTAAGAAACTCAAAGAAACGGGCGATGAGGTGAATATTACTTTTGAAAGGTACCTCAGTGGTCCGAAGTACGAGCAATTACAAGAGGCGATCGCTGATAGAGAGAGGAATAAAGAAATTAGTCCTGCCTCACCATCGGTAACGTTAAGTTGGATTCCTATAGATAATACAGAAGTAAGTTGTTGTAATTTAGTATATATAGTTAAAAGTTGCTCAGATTATCTAAGTTAACGTTTTAAAATCTCTGTACATTTTGGAACTGCAATGCACCACATCCCTTAGTTGCTTTCTTGTAAATTGTTTACTGTTGGAACCTAAATGCTACATTTTAGGTTAAGGACGATCCCGATATATCATCTCTTAATAGTATAAATAGCGTCACCTCTGATCAAAATCCAGAAACGAGGGAGATATTTATAGAAGAAAATTTCGAAGCGAATCTGGAAGAAGATCTTGAAACAGTTATTAAATATAAATGGCAAGGTCTTATTGGCGACGAAGCTGATATAGTGGTTGCTAACTTAACAAAATTAAAAGGTAAGTTTTTATTCTGAATTTTAGAAATAAAGTAAACTAGGTGCATCAAAACTATTTTTTTTCTCCAACTAACTATCTCTACCATTAGAATGACAGATGGCATCAAAAATTTTTCGTCCAAAAATGACTGCTCCATGGCGGACAGTTAATCTCTGGAACGGCAAATCTGAAACATAAAATTCGAATAGGGTTTTAAAAAAGAAGTGCCATTACGTGATAGTTTACAAGACAAATTGAAAATTCAATTCAATTCACAAAAAAAAAACAAAATGGCGGACATTTAACTGGCAATTGTAGTAAAACAATATATCAATATATGTAATAGCGACCTCTAACGAGGACACATGAAGTCAGGGTCGATGATATACTAATGTATATAGGTTTCGACACAGAAATCCAATTTGATTAAGTCTTTTTCAAAAAATTATTTTTCCAATCACCCAGAGTATTTCGTAAATATTTTATTTAGCCTGGTATTTATGTATTTTTTAGGATTAGGGATAAGCTTGGAAGGTACGGTTGATGTGGAAGGAGGAATAGAGCTACGACCGCATCATTACATTAGATCTATATTACCCGAAGGACCTGTAGGTCAAAATGGTAAGCTTCGACCCGGAGATGAACTTTTAGAAGTAAGTACCTGCATACATTGATACAATAATTGTAAATCAACAATAAGTAATTATTTTGTTATAAATATTATTTATTATTATAATTGATAAGTTCTCCAGTGCTTTGTGCTTCGTAACCAGTGTTTTATTTCATCTTTTCGAGATGCGCGAGTTCTGTTCCTAGTTTAGATACATCTCTCTCTTCAATCCTGACCCCCCAGGGGAGTGTAGTGGTCGACGTGATGTCGTGTATTGTCCGTCTCCAGAGATCACTGTATCTGGTCATTTCTTTTAATTCATGCATAGGTCTTTGGCATATTCCTGTAATTTGATCTATCCACCTTGTTGGGGATCTTCCTTGTGATCTTCGGTCTTCTACCTTTCCTTGTATTATGAGTCTTTCCATGTTTTCTGTGTTTGCTCTCACATGCCCAAAATATTTTAATTGTTGGAGATGGACTTTACTAGAGAATCGTTGGCTAACTTTTAGCTCTCTTAAAATTGAATTATTTGTTCTACGGTCGGTCCAAGGAATTCGTAACATTCGTCTCCAACAGAACATTTCAGTGGCATCTATCTTTCTTCTCTCCGATTGTCTCAGAGTCCAAGATTCACATCCGTAGGTCAGTATTGGGAATATTAAGCAGTTGATCAACCTCATCTTTATCGCTCTTGAAATTTGACATTCCTTCCATATTCTGGCCATTTTTGCTGTGGCAACTTTTGCTAGATCACATCTACGTTTAATCTTTTCTTGTAATGACCCTGTGTTTGTGATTAATGATCCCAGATATAAGTATGAGCTCACAACCTCGAACCGGTCAATTGTGGTTATGTGTGGATGATTGTTGTAGTCTATCCACTATCATGATCTTTGTCTTTGATATGTTTAATTGCAGACCAAATATTTGACTTTCGTTTTAGATCAGTCGTATAAGTTCCATCAGCTCTGCTTGACTATTTGCAAGAAGGGCTGGGCTGTGCCATCTGCGAAAAGTAGGTTGTTTAGTTTATGACCATTTATTGAGATGCCCTTTTCCAATCCTTCAAGTGCTCTTCGCATAATATACTCTCCATATATGTTGAATGGTTTAGATACATATCTGTTCGTTAAAATTGAAAGGGCGGAAATCACTTTCACTTTGTTTTGCAGTAGATCAAAATTAGTGTCCTTAATTTGTACACCATAATTTAAAATACCTTTAAAATCCTCAAATGATATTGCATCGTTATGTTTTTAAAGAAGATCTAACTGGAAAGCAGGTTTTGTATGTTTTCAACAAAATTGATAGTGTGTAAAATAATTTATTAATTAACCTAAGTATACTTTCGACATAATAAATGTCATCATCAGAGCTATCCTAAAATAACGTTAAGTTAAGTAAATTTTTTATATAAAATACAATGATAGAAAAAACTTACGTCAATTAGGCAATAAATACTTCATAGAAGGAAAATTGTGGACAAACGACATATTAAAAAACAAAGATCGGGCTCTGTAGACCACAGATCTTGGGTCTAACCCTTATACATATGTATAATTCACATCCAAAATTTTTTATAAAACATGGTTACCACATACAGTAACGACAACAGCTGTTTTTGACTTACATTTTTGAAGTAAAATGAAATAGGAAGCTCGGATATACGGAAATAAATCCGAGAGCGACCTCGACGTTATCTTAGGATAGCTCTGATGATGACATTTATTATGTCGAAAGTGTACTCAGCTTAATTAATAAATTATTTTACACACTATCAATTTTGTTGAAAACATACAAAACCTGCTTACCAGTTAGACCTATGTAGAAGACCTTATTGCAATAATAAATAATTTAAGACTACAACCTTTTTTGTTCTGTGGTACTATATTAATAAAAAAAAGGACAGCCGCCCTTTTGGTATGATTTTATTAGGAAAAGAACCTTATAATCAGAACATTATAACAATAATATAAAACTTAAAAAGCAGTTTTATCATCTTCGGAACAGAAAGAATTGTCTTCGTTAACAACTTTATTTTTTGTTGTTTTTAAAGATTTATAGAAGAAATGGTAAATAGAAGGTACCCATTCTAGCAATTCCATTAGGTGGTTATATTTTGAACATCAATCGGAATTGATTTTTCATTATTTATTTGGTCCAATATCTTTGGTAGGAGACCATCGAGAGAACTTCTCATTTTCCTTTTAAAATTGACAGATTTAAAATTTTACTGGGAATATAACATAATGCCAAGGTGGTCTCTTTCGACTTTTAAGTGCACCATTTTAGAGGATAGAAAGGGTCCATTGTCTGTCTTCTGTTTCCTATATAAACGGACTTTTCGATTCTTTGCCCATTTTTTCAAAGTTGAAAAAGTCACTTGTTTTCAGCTCACAAACAATATGCGGTTTTAAAGAACTACAGCTACTTATTAACTGGGTGGGCCCATTCATGGAGTACAGAAATTCTCATAGTATGCAATAATTTCTTGTTTCTCTCAATCAGTGCATGTATTGTGTCTCCCTCATTGTGTGTATGTCCGTTGAGTAAATATTTATGATGAATTCAAACTACTGAGGTTTTATGGACAGCCCACGTATACATACAAAATAAAAAAATCGGTTTTGGCCAGAGCAGTTGTCTGACCAAAATGTTATCTCTTCTGATGTAGAAGGTAAATTCTTGAACCACATTATTACATCAGAAGCTACCTCGTTGCCGCCCCTTTTTGCAATAGACTCGTCCTACATGAAGTATGGTCCTTCGGCAGTACTATCATTATAGACGGTAAAATTAAATGTCCATAACTGCTTTAAATAAAACGATTTTCCATTAGTTAACATACATGTGGGGAGGCATTTTTGCAATCCATCATTGCTACGACTTTTTTTAAATTCTGCTTGCATCTCATCTTATCCTGCCTTGTTAACTTGTATCTGTTTTCTGCGTCATTCAAATGATCTGCCTTTTGCTTTAAAATATCTTCAACTCCATTAGGATCTGCCTCTTTTCGCTTATTTTCAAATATGTCACAGGTATCACATGTATAATACAGGGAAAAATTCAAGTAAGAAGATCTGTTGGCCGAAGGCAGAACTCATGGTTAAAGAATCTACGTGATTGGTACCAATGCAGATCGCCAACCTCCGTATTGAGACGGCACTCTAAGAAGAAGAAGATCACATGTATCAATGTTAGGGGACTTGAAATGAAGGTTAAACTCGTTAGAAAAAAGTTGCCGTTACATACTTTACTTTACGGCACGTTCTTTTGCATACTCTTTTTCATTAATCCACAAAATATATTTTGTACATTATTGTTACGTTTAGTTCTGGATTTAAATATTCTCTTTCAGACCCATTGCGACAATAATGACGTTCAATTCTTGGAAACAATTTATGTGTTCCATAACCAATTGTTTTGCTTCTTCTGGAAGCCGCATCATTAACTTGCACACCTTGTTTTAGATACGTTTGAGAGGATATGTAAGTGTAAGAATGCTGTATTCAGTCCTTTTGATTGTCATTTCTTGGGCGTCTTCTGCTAACAGTACCCACATCAACTGCTTGTACAATAAATTGTCTTCTATGGTCCCAGTCTCTCTGGCTTTTCCAGAAACTATTAAATACTTGTGTTCTATTAAATATTAAATATTAAAAACTATTAAATACTATTAAGTTTTATTAAGTATTAAATTTAAAACTATTAAATAATTTCTTTAGAGTTTCTCTTTATAATTCCTCTCCTAATCGTCTCTTCTCCTTTGTTACATTACGTTTCCAAGTTGAAGGCTTCTACTTTACCTTTCTAATTTTCTTTACAACTGTTTCTGTTTTATCTCCCTCGTTCCCGTCAATACTGTTATCCATGTTCAGTTTTTTGGAAAGCACATTTCTGTAATTATGTTCTTGAACACAGGTAATGGTTGTATTTTCCTCACAATCATCACGGGTACTGCTATCATTTGGTTCATACGTTTGTCATCCACAAAGTTGTCAGAATATCTACTACAAGAAAGTTCATAAAATATGTTTTCACTCTCAATTTCTTCATCCACGGAGAAATTTTCATTGGCAACGCCAGAATATCTACTACAGTAAGGTTTAGCAAATATGTTTTCACCCTCAGTTTCTTCATCCATGGAGAAATTTCCATTGGCAACATCATTAAACATAACAGGCTTTAACTAACAGTAGATTTTATGGTTCGCATGAACAGAAACATGGTTTTGTTCATTAGACGAATCAGATTCAGTCACATAAGTAGAGTGAACACCAGGAATGTCTGAAAAATAACAATGCTTCAATTATTGCGATACTCCTTAAATAGTTTTCTTAAAAATTCAGCTCTTGTTATTAAGCATGGAAAAGTAGTTTAAACTCTGCAAGATATTACACTTCACAACAATTGTGTAGGGCAAGGATCATAATTTTGAAGATTTTCACAGTACACAGAAAAAGTTCACTTACATTCATTATTTTCTTGTAAACACGTTTTTACCATCTTTATTGCTCTTGATTCAGCCATTTCTGGTTGTTTTTTTTATTAACACACATCAATCTCGATAAAGAAAAAAGTTATTTTTATTTGTAAACCATGCAAAAGCATTAGCTTATAATCTAAATTTTTACACAGCTGACAGGTATTTGTCCATAGAGATTGGACTACCATCTTTTTAAGAATCAGTGTGCCATGCAAAAAAGACCGATGTACCACATAGGGCTTTTTGCAACAACTATCATAGTGGACATCCGACTTGCAATTTTAGTAATATTACCTGGATAGCCACTTATTAAGTACCATTCGAGAGATAATACCTTTAAATGTATTATTGCCTGCATACCTCCTTTTACTGTGAAAATGGACTTCCGCCCTTTCAATTCTAACGAACATATATATATATATATATATATATATATATATATATATATATATATATATATATATATATATATATATATATATATATATATATATACTAGTCCCAAGTACTTGTCTAATCTGTCTTTGAAACCGTGCTACTACCACAGTAGGTTTTGTCTGTAGTACACAGTGTGGAAACCACTGATGAAATAAAATTATTTTATCGTTATTTTAGAAAATGATAAAAACGTTGGGACTCTTTAACTTTTAACTTCAAATGTGAGCTTACATAAATTTAAATTAATAGAGTGATTCACACAAATCCGGCCAAGTCCATAATCCTTGTTTTTAATAAAATACTCTATATATTTTATTTCAATGCAAAACGTCAATACATCAACATGTGACAGATAAAAATCTACATTGGCAGATTTAGTTTAATTATTGGCATATCTATCTGTATACCATACTTTTTGGAAATTTTAAGGTTAGGTTAGTTAGTTATTTATTAGTTAAACCGCTCTTTCATACCATACTTTTTGGAACTTTTAGGTAAATGGGCAGAAATTGCTGGGTATACGACACGTAGAAGTAGTGAAGATATTGAGGGAACTTCCGAACGCGGTACGGCTCGTCTGTTCGAGGGAACATAAAAACAACAGGGTGATAAATACTTCTCAAGACAGAGAAGCATTCGAAGCTAGGAATATACTGGGCGGTAGCTTGAAAAACCTTCTACTCCAACCAGAACAAAAGTTGTTAAAAGCATTAAGTGATACTAGTCTTAATACTTCCAGTTCTGTAACTACAGGTAAATTTTCTTGTCTACTATATCTCTACCTGTCGAGCAGACAGGCTGCAAGTAGAACTTTAGCACTTTTTATAAAACGAAAGTCGATTTCACTCACACGTTTTATTCTTTTTCACTATCATTAGTTCTAAAGCCAAATATTGAGTATTTTATTTATATACACTTGTACAGAAACAGTAGACCGTTTGGAGAAAATACCATATATTAGATAATAAAGAGTATCTTTTGTAATAAACTATGTAACAAAAATTTGCGAAACTTGAAGCCTCTGACACTGCGCGTATAAAATCCTCTTCTACAACTATTCTCCGAACCATAAAACTTAAACCAATTTATTTTTAGGTAACTGGAATAAATAAGCTATCTGCACATTGTTTTTATATTTTACTAACCTAAGCGCGCAAAATAGCAGACTGGCGTCATTTTATAAAATTATATGTCACGGGGTCATATGTTATAAATAATACCTCATTTGAAAGGTAATGGATGACTGTATTGAGTTTTGCATAAAACAAATTCAGTCATTCTGAATTCATTCGTTTTTGGATCGAAATAATAGTACGAAAATAAATTTCTATCAAAAACGTCGATTTTTCGTTTTTTTTTTTAGGTGGGATGCTTAAAAATTTCAAAAAATTCACATGCATAGTTGAGGCAAAGCCTGTCTATTTTTTATAGACCCATAGGTTTATACATAACCTAAAAATGCATTTTTTTTTCGAAAAAAGCGTATAACTTTTTTATGGAGGTAGCTGCAGGACTAATTGTATTTTATTTTATGCACTGAATCAAAAACTATATCTCTAATTTTTTTCAGATTTTTCCGTATGTGGGCGTTCTTAAAAATCTGAAAAACTTTTTTTTTGGGTTTTTAATGGATTTTATAGACTTCAAAATTGTTCAAATCAAGCTATAGGTTATATCGACATAGGATTGACGTCTATAAAGTATAACTTCTTCTTCTTGATGTGCCTATCCGTTACGAATGTTGGCGATCGTCATGGCAATCTTTATCTCATCTTCAGCAGCGCGGAAGATCTGCACAGATGTTGTATTGAACCAGATTCTGAGGTTCTTTAACCAATATGTTCTTCTTCGTGGACCTCGCTTTCCAAATATTTTTCCTTGCAGAATGGCTTGAAGGAGGTATGTGCGAAGAATTGTAATTTTTGGGATATGATGGTAGTCAGTATCTCTCGATTCTTATTCATTCTTTTGAGGACCTCCTTATTTGTGAATCGGTCAGTCGCCGGGATCTTAAGGATTCTCCGATATAGCCACATCTCAAATGCTTCCAGTTTTCTGCACATATCTTCGTTCAAGGTCCGTGATTCAACATCATAAAAAAGGATAGAGAAGACGTAGCATCGCAGCATCCTTACTTTTGTATCAAGAGAGAGGTTGTGACTTGTAGGCCCTCATCCGATTGAAGGTGGATCTAGCTTCTCCGATACGTGCTCTAATCTCTTGGTTGTTGGTCCATTCTTCATTTATTTATTATAGTGCCGAGGTATTTGTAGTGCTTCACTCTTCCTACAGGGGATTGGTTGACGTAAAGTTGACCTTCTGTTATCCTTTTCTTGCTAATTATCATAAGCTGTGCCTTTATCATTATTATAAAGGATAACTTATTTTGGTCTAATAACTTTTATCCTATCTTATGTAAATATAAAGCTATTTAACAAAATAACCTCATTGTAAGTGCAAATTTTGAATCATTTGGCGGAAAAAACGTTGTAACCAATGTTACAATATTGAAAAATTTTATTGATGAATATTTTTTATAGAAAGATTATAACATTGTATACAAAGTTTTTCTCGAAAAATGTGGTACAAAAAAGTAAGTTTGTGGAATATTACTATGAATAACATTCAAGTCAATTTACCAGGCTCTTCTAATCAGGAAGATAACAGATAAGAGGTAAATTCTATATTATTAACTGCTAAGCATAGTGAGCATATCTTAAATCTTAAAAACTCGCGTGAAAATAGTAGTGTAAAATTTCAAACAAAAATAATCTACGACACCTATATCGTTTACGACCGAACTGACTTCTACCGATAAAAATAATATACCAAATGTTCACAGTGCATCAGATGCTCAAGATACATCGAGAGCAGAAACTTCTACATGCACCAAAGGTACAAATTCATCATTAAATACGTCTGTTAAGAAAAAACAATAGTCAAAGAAGAAAAATCTGGGAAGGGAGAGTCAAAGGGATCCAAGTGTTTGGAAAATGAATGTCTTGAAGAAACTGTGGAACTCTGGCCAAGAATATACTAGTAAAACTGAAAAATTAACGAAAATGAGAGAATTGGGACCTGGATGTAACGATAAATGTATCAGAAAATGTAAATCGATATAGTATCGATCCACAACTATATCGATTACTCGATATAGTTGTGGATTTAAACAGGACATTGAGCCCAAAACAGCATCTGTTGGCCGTGCAAATTCTTCTATAGTATTATTTTGAGTGTTAAGGAAAGCTCCCAGGTATACAAATTCGCTCACTGCTTCGATGACGTCGTTTTCTATAACAAGTGGTCGTAGGATTTGTGATTGCGTGCTTATTTTCATGTACTTCGATTTTTGGTGTTTATTATTCAACTCATTTTTATAGCTGATTCTTTTAATGCTACATATGCCTCTCGTGCAGCGTTCTCCCAACACTATTGATATCATCATCATAGACCAGAATGTGCACTGATTTATTATATATTGAATCAGTGGTTGTGATTTGTGACACGTATTACTTTTTCCAGAGCCAGATTGAACAGTATACAGGAGAGAAGGCCTTCCTGGCGCAGCCCGTTATTTGTTTTAAAAGGTTCAGACAGTTCCCTTTGAATTTGTACTCTACATTCAACTTTTTCAAGAGTTAGTTTTGTTAAATTTACCAACTGATTTGGTATTCCTAGCTCTTTCATTGTTTTGAACATTTCTCTTCTATTCAGAGTCGTAGGCTGCTTTGTAGTCTATTAATATGTGATCAATGCCATATTCCAGTGTTCAAAATTTGTTTCAGGATTACAATCTGATGAATTGTCGATTTAGCACCTCTGAAACCAGCCTAGTATTTTCATACTATCATTTCTGTATATGGTGCAATACGGTGGCATAGTATTGTGAAAAGTATTTTACACACTGCATTTAGAAGTGTAATTCCTTTGTGGTTAGAGCATTCAAAGATATCTTCTTTCTTTTTTGTGTATGGTGCAAAATATTCCAATATTCTAATAATTGGGGATGGATTTCTGTGTACATATTTCTTTTATAAGCTGCTTTAATGCTATTATGGTATCATGGCCACCTTGTTTATATATGTAGTTTAGCTGGTAGATTATCTATTTCGGGTGATTTGTTTCTGTCTAGTTTTTTTAATTGCATCTTTAACTTAAGAATCGTGTACCATGTTTACTTCATTTTTTAAGTGCCAAGTGTTTTTTTTCCGATTTTCTTCGGAAGCGCTCGTTAATGGTTTTAAAGGATACCTTAAAAGTCATCCCCTAATAATTGAGGTTTTTTATTTAGACACATAGTTTGCCTTGACTGATGACTATGTTTATTTTACTATAAGTACAGGCTAACAGGTATCGTTCTTGTAGTTTTTTTGTCAAGTAGACAATTAGCTTTAAATTTGGCTTTAAATAATGCGTGACTTAGTATCGCTGCGTTAACAAGAATTAAAAGAAAACTGAGAAATTGAATGGATGTAACAGAAGTAAAATCCTTTATTTAAAAATTCACCCTATTTTACCCACTGCACCTTTTGATGCAAGAATTCATCCCATTAGAAGAGTATATTGAATGTTTGTTAGATGCCTTGTTAATCATGCTACTGTGAAAGTCGATCTTCATAGATTTAATTTAAGTGAAACAGAACTTTGCGATTGTAATGGTAACACTGACGATATCAATCATTGAATGTTCAGGTGCATATATAATGATGGTGTTATTAAGTATCTACTGAAAAATCTGATAAAAGAACAAATACCTCTTGGAATGGAATTAAATGTGTAATGTGAATCTAGCTTTGTTCCCTCTGTCTATCCTTATGTTATATATTTAACTCCTAGCCGTTGCCCTCGTCTTGTGTTGTAATAAAGTCGCTATGAAAGGTACCTTAGCGTGAAAAGTATCCCTATATTATATAATTCCTTGTTGGTTCTAAATATTCACTTTAATATGGTTAGGGCCCTGAATTTAACGAATGAGAGTATGGCTTCTTACAATATATTTTTAATTTACCTCTAGGCGAAGTACTATTGTGTTAACAAATGCAATAGGTCAATGCATCATTAGCAAATTCAAGCAGTCAAATACATTATCGTGGCTGAATGGATCAAGTTATCCAAAGCCATTAATTAATTAAAAAAAAAACATAATAAAAATACTGTTTTCGCATTCACAAATTTTTGTTTCATAGTTTAATTAACAGTTAAGAAAGATTTATTGAAATTTTAACTATATAATTTTGCTCAAGCTTGTTCAAAGTTAATTGTTTATAATTAATGGTAACATTTTTTCCACATGGTTAACACTTTTGATTCACATTATATAGAATAGTTAACTGCTGTACAGAACTTCTTTTTGTATTTATTCTACATTATAATTTAAATATCACTGTGCATATCTATAGCAAACGCTTTCTTTAGCTGTACATTGCTTTTATAAAACTCAAAATTTTTTTTCACTAGTATTCTCTTACAAATGTGGAGAAGATCTGGGTGGGTGTTCAACACCACTCATATTTCTAAGCAACTGTAGTCTAAAAAATTGTAGATTTGGGTTTTTATTATAACTTTCTTCAACAAATGTAACTACAAATTTACACCATTATAATCAATACAATATTCAGACATTATCAAAAGTAAGTATGAGTTTAGGTGACAATTCAAGCAATAAAGAAAAGAGTGGACGATGAACCGAATAACAGAATTATTAAATTATCATAAAGACAAGAGAAGACTAAGTGAATAATATATGTCAAATA